TATCTTTGTCAATAACTGTAATAATATTGTCTTCATTAAATAGTATTGAGTATATTAAATAAAAAAATTAAAATTCCAATTCTGATTAAATCAATATAACGATGAATAATATTTATATTGTTATTTTAAAACGCAAAATAATATTTTAAATAAAATTATTAACATATAAATATAGTTTATAATTCATTTTTGAATATTATGATTTAAAAAAAATACATTGTTTTCAATGTTTAATGTTATTTGCACTTATAAATTAATCAAATAACCTCCTTTTCTGTTTTTTCAACGTATATAGATTGAAATAAATCAATTTTTATATAAAAAAAATTCGTTTCTATTGTTTTTCAATATGGCGTACTTTTTTGATCGATTTAACGATTTAAGAGGTTTATTCTACGTTGACATAAAAAAAGTGCATTTCAAAATTGTTCTAGAACGTTATCATAAAGAAGAAATTATTTTCGGGAAAAATCGCCTGTTATTAATGATTATTATAAATATTATGAGCAGTTATTTTTTCCGAGTAAAGCCCTTATATGTGTTTATAACGTATATAAATTTTATTCTAATCGGCTAGCGTTTCCGAGAAAATTTTTTTTTTCTGATTTTTGGCATTTTGGAATTATTCAGAAACCAAAATAGAAAGAGGTCAAAAATTTTCAGGATTAACGTATCTCATTAGTACCAATATACCCTCAAAAAAATAATCCGCATATCCCTATAGGACTTATTCACTATGCTTATCGTCTTATAGCCTTTGAATTGTTATCTTCTTTCTAATACCGTTTCTGTAGTCCAAGCGAAAATGTTTGTTCGAACCTGTGGCAGGTTCTTTACATATTTGTCGTTTCGAAGTTTGAAAATCGATAGCACGGGCAGGGCCATTTATTTTGCAAATGAGGTCGGAACTGTATCAGATAGTCCCGTGAAATATTGAAGTTGGTTAAAATAGATTCAAATATAGAACCAAGTCCGCATTATAATTTCTGAATTAACCTGCAAACAGACGTTCAATTTCCGTTAATTATTTGCTCCAGCGATTGATTTTGATTAAAATTCGTCCAATTTAATAAAATGAATTGCCACTTCAAAGGGTGAATTTATGTAAAATTACCTTTTCATAATTTCATTAGTCCTTATCGTGAAATTACTTTCGCAAGAGATAATTTGCAATAAAATTGAATTTACGTGCAAGCAGTTTTATTTAATTTGCAAAGTACAGAGTATTATAAACCAATAAAACAAAATGAACGGACTGCTGAACAAATAATTGAAATAAATTTTATCGATAATTAGATAATATACAGTATTAATAATCGGAAATATTAATTTTTCCATTTGACTTATCAAAGAGAGCATTTAAAGTTAAGTTCTGAAAATATTGTTTTATTTATATATTTAAGTTAGATTCCTGATCGTTAATTTTAAATTTTATTGTTTTTTCCAGAGTGGTGGTCAATTAATTAAACAAATTATTTGTTTTCTGTTACGTTTCGGTTTATTTAAACCATTTTCAGACTGAGTTTTTTGAACTTACAGTTCTACCAGGTTATTATACACTTGTTAGTAAAACATAATTGATAGTCAGAGAACACCTTTTTTGAGTATTACTACTTGTACACAGATCTTAAAATAAATATAAACATTCTTTCTCGTTGAAATACTGTACACTGATTCCTAATGTTTAGATAGTTTTATTTAGAGACCATAAATCATATGAAGGATTACGGCAGTGGTTTCCAACCTGTGGGGTGCTCCCTCCTAGGGGGGAGAGACTTTTGCAAGGGGGGTATGCAGCTGTTTCCAAAATATCATTTTCGAATACAAACCAAAAAAGTCGCCGCGAATTTTTCGGGTACAAATGCTAAAATATCTATCCATACTCTTGCTGGAACGAAAACATCTCGCCTTCGCGTTTGGAGCCGAGCGCCGGCGGGGCGAGGAAACAAAAGACAAGCACTCGGAACATCCCGGGTATTCTCGTGCTTACTCGCGCCAAACTTCAGTAAAGAGAAGCAACTGTTTTTTTTCTGTTGCCTGTTCTTATAATAAATAATTATTTTTTTATGTATATTTTTACATAATATTGTATATTGTTTTGTAGCACATTA